TTGCTCATTTCACTTTATTTGTAAAAAATTTACTAGTTAACATGGGCTAATAACAGTTAACAAGTTAAAAATATGCCACTGTTAAGTCATTAACCTAGTTACATGAACAGGACTCCAGTTCAGTTATGACTAGCTCTACTATATATATATATATATATATAGCTACAGTGTAGGCTCTGAAAAGTGAAAAGTCTGGCTATTTTCATATGCCACTTAATCACAGCCTTATTTGATTTACTGATTTCAAAGTACACGTGTTTTATTGTTTGTACAGCTTCTTCCTAGCTTGTACTGTAAACCGTACACATAATAAATTTTAATATTATTTCTAAACTTATATTTGTATCAAAACCTTCTTACACAAAAATTTATGTTTTTATACTTAGATATTCCATCTTCCGTAACAATCCTATACTCTTTTCTCAACCTTAATGACTCTGATTAGTCACATAGCATCCTTTACTATACTGGTGAAGTTTTTTTAAATGTTATAATATATACAAATGTAGTATTTAATACCAACCCTAGAATGTTCTTGAATGTACATTCTACGTAAACAATTAAAGGCTATTTGTTAATAAAAAGTGAAATCGTGTGTATTATCTTCATAGTCACACAATGACTGTTGTGTAATAAACATAATATCAGCTGTATGTAAATATTTCAGCTATAAGGAAGATTTTCATAGTGAGTATGTGTGCATATGTTGTGAAGCAGTGCCTAAATTTAGTAGAAATACTACATTTATTTGAAACCATCTACAACTTCTTCACAATGCTATATTCAGGGAGCTGTGTAAAAGCACTACTGTTAAAACTCCAACAACAACAGCTTTAACTGGATCACCTCATCACAGCATTGAAACAACTGTTTCACTGTCTTCATCAGTTACCAGCAGTAACATTAGCTATATTACTTCAATTTCACCATTTGTACAATGATCATTGAAGAGAAAATCAAGTACACAAGAGTTATTAGCAGCTAAAGTTCAGTATCCTAAGAAGAACATAATGCAGAAAATGCTAATAGAGGTATTAATGCAATACAGAGCTGCGGTAGGCATCTATTGCAAACTGTGGGAAAACATGGCTTTTAATGTTGGTTGAGTCTCTGGATCTGAAGTACCAATTGCTCATTAAACAAGGAATTAAGTGGGAATCTCATCTCAAGACTATACACTAGCATCAAAGAAGTGGTCACAAGCCAACTTTGCAAGACAAATGATATGGACCTATAGAACAAATGATCAGTACCTTGGGTTGGCTATTCAGTTCATACATCAACAATGGGTTTTGAAAAGTTATAATCTTCAAAACAGTAAGCTTCTCCCACCACATAGGGATGAAGTTATAGTTTAGAGTCTAGAAAGCTGGAAGATCTTGAATAAAGTTGAAATAATTGTGGCAAATAACACTTCTAATTGTGTGAAAGCTGTCGGTAAGATGGATCGAAAGTTAATGCCATGCTTTGGCCATGTGCTGAACTTAGTTATCAAAAAAAAGGAGTAAATACTTGAAACAAACATTGACCACACACTGTTTTACTTTGATTGAACATTTCCATCAAAGTGCCATTTCCAAGTATTGCCTCATAAACTAGCAAATGCAACTTAGTTTACCAGAAAATAATTTGATCACCTGATGCAAGACCAAGTGAGAGGTTTCCAACAAAAGATGGAGTGATTATAAAAATCTTAGCTCCGTAGTTAGGGTCAGACAAATCCTAGAAAAGTGTGATCTATTCCAGTTCACCACACACTCCATTCTGGAACCCCGAATTTCCAGGAGCAAGTCTATTCTTTGAGAGTCTAAATATGCATCCATCTGGAGGTGACAGGCTAAAGCATGTTGTTCTGACAAACATAGTAGACAAGGCATAGCTATCCCTTAATGTGATTGAGCAGTAAACGTTCCTGAGGAACAATGCTCTGGAAACAGTGTAATAAATGAACCAAGTTCCCGAAAATTTAAAAAGCAAACCGACCATGATTTATCCAATCCCCTTTATGGAAGGCGCAGACTCAAAAGCAACCAGGGAAAAACCCAAAACATCACACACTCGATTTACCACCTGAAGAAAAGGAGCTGGAGGCAGCTATAAGATCACAGACAGCCTCAACTGAGATCACCCCCCAAGGCTTTAGTTGCCAACTTTTCATGATGTCTCATCAAGTGGTTTGGTCATATACCAATAAAACACATCTATAAAAAAGTTTCAATATGTTTTAATAGAGCAAGAATTAAAATTTTCATATCATAGTAGAGTATATAAAGTGGTATTAGCAGTAGTTTATGTTTAATACAAAACTTTCTAGTCCAAGCAAAAGTGTTTGTGGGTTAAATTATGTATGTTTGAGAGCTACTGAAATTTTCTTATTTACACAGATCATTGAGAGATTACTGCATGTTTAAAAAAGAAACAAAATAGTGACCCCATAATTGTCTTGACATCGGTGATTTGCCAAGTAAGAAGTGTTTAGACTACATTCTTAAAAAATGCACCAAAAGATTTTGATAAATTAATTTTTTCCTCAAAACATGCAAATAAAAACCACCAGAAGATATTTATAATATCAAGCAAATGGTAGTTTAAACTAAAACTAGCTAAAAATAAGAAGTTTAACCTTATGCAAGAATAATAAATTAGTTTAATGTAATTGATTAATGAAGATGATTAATCAGAAAATTTACAGCTGAATGTAAATATTTTTATACACTAGCAAGTCATTATACTTTTGTAGTAAGTGCTGAGATGTAGTGTTAATTTGTGACTTTTCTGCACAGTTAGAAAGTACTAGTTACAGGATAAATTTCCAGAATGTTAAAAAAATTTAGAAATAAACTGCTGGACTGTACAGAAGAAGGGTTATTTAAAGATGTTAAGAGATCCTTAGAGAAGTCATGAAACATAGCAAACTGGCTTGTAGATCTAGGCAATTACTAGAATTTACCAGACACATATCAGATAAATTATTTTTAAAAACTTTTATCCAGAACTGAGTTTGAAAATTTTTGCCAATATTAGAAAATTTCTTTTATAAGAAAATGTGCAAGAAGGTATAATTTAAACACACAATTTCTTGAAATTCAAATGACTACCTGTTCTTTTTGCTATAGCTGTTATCCTTTGTAAGGCTTCACTCTGCTGTAGAATGTGATTATGAGTGCTGGCTAAACTAGTATAAGAGCTACGAGCACTGCTGTCTGAACTGCTCATTCCAGAGTCTCCACTCTCAAAACTCCATGAAAGTTTCCGAGAATGTTGTTGTCTGTGTGAAACTCTTTCATTTAAATTTCTATCTAAACCTTTTGCTGGCTGAGGAATACCAAATTTGTCAAATATATCACATATTTCATCTATTAAGTCTGTTTTGTATGGCAATGTTGGAGTATCTTCTGGTACTTCTAAGTTCTGGTTATCAATGTCAACAAAACACAAGTTTGCCTAAAAAGAAAGAAAGAAGCTAATTGAGTCGCAGTAAATAAAGTATGTAAATAAGAAAAGTTTAACGAAAAAATTTTAATGTTTTTTTTTCAACAAAAATAAAAACTGTTTATCAAGTGCTTTTTTCCCAATTGCATAATATTACTCATAGTATGATCTTGTTCCTAGGAGAGTGCCAAAACTTTACTTAAATTTCTCCATTTCACAGGAATTAAACATGCTTTACTACAAACAATATTTTACAAGAAAAAATAAGAATATATTAAAAAGTGTATTAAAATACGCTCAAGAAATCAATAATTGTTTATGGTAGTAATATTTTGACATTTAAATGACTTTTGTTTCATGGAATTAGTACTTATTTTGATCAATCAAACACTTCTAGTAATAATTCTTGTAATATCAAATTCAACTTATTTTGAGTGTATAATATCTATAATTAAAAGCTTACAATTTTGTTTTTCTGAGTGAAGCTATCTTTGACATCAACCTTTAAAAAAACTTTTTTAAAAGAGGAGTATATTAAAAAATAAAAACGAGGTAAACAAATAATCTAAAAATTACTAAAAGGTACAAGATAATTCATAATCATACAAACAACTGTATAATGTATAGATGTGTGCACACATTTACCACAGCTGGTACTAATGACTTCAAAAACTGGCTTATGCCATTTACGTGTAAAATTTGGGTTTTCAGTAAGAAATTTTAACGAGTTGAAAAGCCTTACAAGTAGTTATATTCATGTTAGGTTTGCCACTGAAGAAAAGATGCAAAAAAAAATAAAAGAGTCCATAACTCTATCCACATTCTTTATTTCTATTACACAAGCATATGTGTGAAAAAATGTAAGAATACTGCATCATGGAAGATATTCAAATTTAGCAACAAAGCATAAAAAAGTTGTCCAACATAAAAATCAACTTATAGAACACAATCTGTGAAAAAAAAAAAAGTATTTCAACAATTTTAAAAGAGCAAAAGATAATTTTTACTGAGCTCAAGAAGTCATAAAAAGCAGGTGAAAAACATGATGACTGACCTCTCCAGGTATACATAGTTGTGACCTATCCTCTGTGCTATGCTGTAATCCCATGACATAAGGAACTGGAGCATCTAGAAAATGCTGGAGAGAGGCAGGAAGAATGGGTACATACACATGTTGCCATGTAAAAGGGAACAACAATATTGAGACACACTCAGCTACTAACATCAACCTATGGTACTCTGAAAGATATAAATAAAAAATAGGCATGTACAATTATTTAAATTAATCATTTTTTATTGTAAATTTTAATACAATTGATAAATTGGCAAATACACTGAGCATTCCACTTTAAAAACTGGAAAAATATTTTACTGCCAATAAGGACATAAATAATGAAGTATGCATAACTAGGTTTTTAAAAGCTAAAAATATGGCTTGAAAAGCCTAAAGACATTATGAAATAAACACAATGATAATATATGAATCTGATGTAGCAAATATGAAATACAGACTGCATTTCAATTTGAATATGGACATATGTCAACTAATTTCAATGCTAAAAAAGGAACCGAAAGTAATGAAAAAATGAATAATGTTAAGCTTTACACAATCCACTGGAATTTATTTGCTACTCACAGAGAGATTGTACTACAAGGTAAAGAAATACTAAGGGGCTATTTTAATTTAGTTAGTGCTACAAATGATTCAAAAAGCTATGACAATCTACAATGCTTAGTCAACAGTGGCATTTCTAGGATTTGTTATTTGGAAAGGGAGTGGGGCAAAGCTTTAGTTGGGGAGGAAGGAAGATTGGGTGTATCAGAAGAAGAGAAGTCAATACTTACACAACACACAGAGCAGAATATTTCTTTTTAAATTATTTTACAAATAATAAAAAAACACTATCAGTATCTAAAACATGTTCATATGATATCAGATTACAAAATAAATACACTCTTCATGAATACATCTAGATGGTCCCTTAATGCTAACAAAACTAAACTTCTAAATATGGATAGGTTAAAGAACACATGTCAAGACCTTTTTTTTTCAGTTACATTTAAATATTAATCAAACTACTATATTATTAATGTATGTCAATAAAGTTAGCATCAAAATCTGGTTTATAACTCAAATTTTAATATTATACAAGTTTTAATTTCATAACTTTTGTGTATTATGTGACATTTTCTTGCTCCAAGTTTCACCCTTACATTGTTTTCTAAGTTTCCTAAGACTTACATACTTAAACATTAGATATTTTTGAGCTAAAATGAATACTTATAGCATCCTTTCCTTTAGTAGGTTATGTACCATAAACTGAAACTCGCATGCCATGCCCCCCCACCGTATCAGATGCTCTCTTTAAAAAATATGAATAATTCTCTCTGACATTTGCTACTGCATTTATTTATAACCAAGAGAAGATTTTAATTTACTGCTTTCCTTACAGGGTTAGCTTGCTATTGCTGAGATTGCCTCAACCAAGTAAGAAAAATATTTGAATGCAAATATGGCTTGACTGGAAAGCTAGTAAAATTATAATAGTTTTAGGACATTGTTTTTTGTTGCATGTTAATATTTTGTGTTCTAAATTACATACTTAAAATAAATAAAAATTAAGTAAAGTAATGATAACACCCATACAAAAAACAGAATTAACTTTCATCAAGACTTCAAGAGCAAAATGGTACAAGACTAACATATAAGTACAAAATTTCTTGTTTTTTATGTATATTTCTTATTTAATGTTATAAAATAAACTAAGATGTCAAAACTAGAAACTTATTAGATTACATATGAAGAATTAAATGAAAAAATTAAATATAAAAAGCATTCCATAGCATGAGCACATCTTTTGAGAGCAGCATGTTCATTTGACCAAAAGTGCTGGTAACTCGAAACCACGTATACACAAAGCTTACCTGCTGTAATAATGCACTTTGGCACTAATACAAGATGGCAGTAAAGCAATAAACCTGAAAGACTGGGATATTTTAATTGTATAAGCTTTGGCTGTAAGAATAAATAATGTATAATTTTCTGTAATAACATGCTAACACTCTAGAAAGAAAAGTGTATTTCAGATTTATTTGATATTTCTTTGTGATAGTTATAAGGTCAGTCAAGTGGACCTAGCCTGTATACAGTGTTAGGGTGAAAAGAAATAACAGGTCAAATATACAGATTTAATGAAAAACCTTTTGATATTCATTTAGAAGGATCCAGAAGTTATGCAAATGACATGTAAAAACTATAAAATGGAAAAGTATTTTCTGACTTCATAAATTCACACACAAATTTTTAGTCAAAATACTTCATTAAAAATCTGAATTTTTGTGTATATAAAAAAAAGACTTGTAATTTTACTAAAGCTTGTCAAGTTTCACAAAAATAAATTTACTAAATTAAAAGTTATAGTATGTACAGTTTCATGGTTAAATGGTGGTGACAAGGTTAGTGAAAATGACAAAGCTGTACAATGACAGTCAAAGATGTATTACAATCACACTTTTTTGTTAATGTCAGCATTCAAAGTTGGCTGGAATACCAAGAACAGATATCTTACCTTGAGAACAAAGTAATACTTGGTTTTCTAATAACACACAAGAAAAAAGTTTAACTGCATTGACCACACCTAAAGTGTGAAAAAATTCCCGTAAGGAGTACTCAAACAGAGGCAATTCCCCAGTACCTGCAAGTTAAGAAAAAATAAAAAATATATTATTTGATTAACAGTTCATACTATTTGGGACTATTATATGAAAATGACATACAGCTTTAAAGAAATTTGTAGTATTATTATAAACGTTACAAAACTCATGTTTTCATCATTCATGAACCTTTTTTCTTTCAATATCCTTAACCCTTTCCAGTTCATGTATACCAGGTATTACCTGGAGAAAGTGTGCAACATTAAATTTTGAAAAATTATTTGTGATTGATGTATTCCCACAAACTTTCTCAGAAATAAAACTATAACTGAAATGTTGAGGTTTTAAATTTTCTTTTGGTATACGTTTTATTAACACTTGTCTTGGATGAAATAATAATACAAAATCAAAACTTTAACCCTAATTGTCAGTTTTTAGCCTCTGCAGGAAAACTCATCAATAGACAATACAAAAATGGAAATACACAGTTATAATAATTTTAAATATTACTATTTGGTTAAAATTGTTTTAGAACAATGAATTTTTGAAGTTGGTGATGATAAGAACTGCAGTATTAAACTTTTCACATTTTTTGTTATAACTTTCTTGTTTCTAAAGTTTTCAAATTTATTAATACATCGTCTGAAACCTGGGTTTGTATTCTTTTGATAATCTATTTGCTGCAAAGCTCCCTTATTTCCTTACTATTTACACATGAAAGTAAAATTTTAAAAGACACATGAAGTCGACAGGGTCAGTTTCAAGAGTGAATTTGACTTTCTGTTGTCATTTAGCTATGGAATTCTAATACTTGTAAGCCACAGAAAGGTAATAAATTAACTTAATATGTTTCCCTGCACATTTATTTATTTCACTAATGTAATTGCCTTTACAGTTAATATTTTGTATAAAATAACTTTAGTTTTGTAACCTGATCCCAAGGTGAGACCAACAGCTATAACTTACTGCATTGTTTGTACTCATTCAAAACATAAGTTTATGTGTTTTTGAATATGTTAAATATATTACTATGTGTGGATCATAAATAACTTTTATATATAAAATAGAGAGAGGTAAACAATATATATTTATACTAATTTGAATATTTTAGACAATTTTTGTTGTATCATTTTTTCTCAACTAAGAGGCCTAGTATACATGTCATTAAGCCTGCTATTCGTACAGGCCTCAACAATAACTATGAGATCAACAGTTACGCAATGCACGAGTAATAGCATGTAGTGGTTTTTGTTATATTATAAATCATAAGTTGACTAAAAAAATCAAATTTATGTTTCAAAACGTGTAATAGATAGATGTATTTTAAATGTCTGTGTTTCAAATTTGGTGATATTTATGAGTTATTAATGTTTATTCATAAAAATACAAAGTTGGCCAAATACCATACAGTAGCAGTTAAAGGCTTAATGTTGTGGAATTATAATAGTTATTTGACCTATAATACTGTAATAATTATAGAAATGGTGAGAAAAAAGGTATAAAAGAAAAACTATAAGAATGCCACCTTTTTATTGTGTGAAACTGAACTGCATCAAAGTGCAATCATGTGTGCAAAGCTTACATTATGAATAGTTGCCATCCAACCAAACAGAAAGAGTCACACCAGTATAAAGCCTATAAAAGTATAGGCAGTCATACTTTGCCAAACATCAGAAGTATGAATCTAATCCTGACTCCCAGGTCTGAAATAATACATGACAAGTGTGTAGAAATCAAAATTTCGGCTAGTCAAGAATACTTCATGCAACAAACTGTGGTTAAGACTCCATGTTTCAGTAGGAGCAAGAAGTACAATTACACACAAGGTACATGAAACTCTCACTGTTAATAATAGAAACCATTGAAGTAAAAAACTGAAACTCTTCAAAATTGATGTTAAGTATCTCATGGTATGTTCTTTATAAGATGGTTGAGAGCTGGTTACAGATCATAAAAATAGTAAGATACAATTAGCACAAAGTGGCCTTAATGAATGTGTAGCTGCTTGAAGACAGCTGCTGAAAAGAGGTAACCAAATCAAAACGTTCAAATGGGAATCAGTTTACAAAGAGTGGAATAAGCAAAGGTGGAGAAATGCTCTTTATAGATGAAACCATATTTGGAAAAAATTAATGATAAGTTTTTGACAGCTAAGAGGAGAATTTTATAGTAGTCAATGTAGAACTTTTACAGTAAAGAATGGTGATGATCATTAAAAGTTCGAGCTGCACGTCAGCCAATGATGTTAATTTACAAAGCTGATAGCATCCTGACTGCTGATAACTATATGCAGGTTCTTATCCATCATCCCATTCCCTCAGAAATACCACTCAATGGGCAGGAATTCATCTTCTGGCAAGAAAATAACAAGCACACAACAAATGTAGTGAAACAATATCTTGATTGTAGAGAAACTGATGGAACATCACAATCATGACCTGTCCTTCACAAAGTCTCATTATGAACATTCTTGATGCTGTATTGCCTTATGTAAAATCTGAGAACCAAACAACTTAATTGAACTTTGGAGAGTAATAAATTCAGGGCAATTTGAACACTAATCAACAATCATTTACTGATATACTGTATGACAGCATGAAAACAAGGTATAGTTTTCTGAGCAAAACAAAGGACTCTCATACAAAATACTAATGCACTACACAACTTATTTACTTTCTTATACACTTTCTGTGATAACATTTTGTAGCATTAATAAATTTATCATCTGTTTGTCATTACTTATTGTTTCTGACTCTTGTAAGTGTATTGCTTGTGTGTTTCCATAATTATTTCCATTACATACATACATACAAACACACACGTGTGTCATGGGTGAATAGCAATTTCTTGCAGATGATTATTTGCCTTAGCAAATAGTAAAACATGGTCATTTAATTCTGTATTCTACAACTGGCCTTGATACTTAGTGAAAGCCAAATGTTGGTATAGGCAAATAGCATAAAGCTGAATTGAATACTGCTTTAAACATCATTACTTTTTAATCTGTCTATGACCTCAAATTTGTTATCTTAGTGAACTTATACAATACATATGGCCAAGTAAAATGTTTACACCAGTTACTTCTGAAAATCAGATTACTGTTTCGTACAACAGTTTAAATAAAGTGGGATTACAAATAATCACAAAATATTAATTCAATTAGTTACATAAAAAAGATAAATTTAAAAATCAGTTAACTATCAAGTAAGGTATGTTTTAATCAAGGTTTCTTCACAATACTGCATACACAGTATGTGCAGGCATTAAGAAAATGGTTAGGCAAATATTAAATATGCCTAAATACGTAATATTTAACTAGGCAAATAATCATTTGCTTAAAATTACTATTCACCAACAACACACACACACAAATATATATATAACCAACCTGTAGATTTTTCTTAACTCTGCTCTGTATCTTAAGTGTTCTCAATTTCCCAAAAATATATTAATATGAAATCAGATATCTGTGCTATTGTAGTTTGAAAAATAAAAATAATTTAGAACCAAAACAGAAAATTAATAAATATCTATATTTCATTAATCCAAAAAAAAACATAGATTCAAACCATTTAACACAAGTTGTATACATTTACACAGGAAATAGATTTTCAGATTATGAAAATTTTCTCAATTTCTATCTCACAGATGAATTTTTGTGTAAAAAAGAATTAAACTCATATTTAAAAATTATAAGAAAAATTTAATGATTAAAAGTGCACATTAAGATTCTGAATCTAAAATTAAATAATAGTACAGAACTATTCAAAACAATTTTTATGTTAAAATCAAAAGAATTTTAATATTTTGAATGCCACAAATACAGTTCATTTCTGAATTAGAATATGATCAATACAGAAACCTGACACAAAGTACTTTGAGTTAAGATAAAACCTTAAAAAACTGAAAACATAATCAGAATAACAAAGAATGATGAAGAGCCTTAAAAATTTGAAAATTACAAATCCAAACATTCAAGTATGTTCATCACAGTAACATTCATAACACTTCCAAACTTAAAAACACAAACACTGCAAAACAGTGACTTATTTTTTTCCATATTATTTTCAAACAAGTTAATTTGTGTAAAAAAAAACTGTTAATCTGCAGTTAACATTTCAGTCTTTTTCAGTGGCATATTACTCTGTTATCATGAAATTAATGTCAACAAACATAACACACAATAATGATGAATTATTCAACCAGAAAACCAACACATGGAAGTTTTACTCACCTGGCCTTTGGCACATGACTGATTGACCACAGCAAGAAAATTTAAGACTTCGGCCAGGTGGTGGCAGTGGTACCTCATACAAGATATTATATACATAACACTCTAGTGGTAATTGTGGTGGATCTTGTGAAGCCACAAGACTATAAAGACCTTCAAGAAAACTCCTGCATGCCACAATTATGGGTAATTGAGTTATTAGACAAATACACTTGGTAACATAAAGGGTGTCTCTTATAACATCGTATAGCGAGTCCTTTGCAGAATGTTGCCGAGATCCTAGTTTAAAGGAGCGAGGTAAAGAATGAGTACCTCCAGAATCACCATTCACCAATGCTGCTTGAGCTTTACTGCTACTGAGTTCTGTAAGATGCATTGCCTTAAAAGAAAAAACAAAAAACATATTCAGATATAAAGCATTTCTATAAATAATAGCTTAAAACATTTGTTATTTTACACAACTTCATTAAGTTTTTGTACTGCAGTGAAACAGAATTTCAGATAGTCTTGGCTGTCATCATGATCCCTCATAATTAACCCTTATGTTAACTCTTTCCATACACAATCAGTAGATTACACTGACCTTGTAGCTCCAAAGTAACCATCAGATATTCCATTCTATAACTTTTACTATGGTTTGTGTACCTTCACAAAATTTGGCAAACTTTCAGTAAACATTACAAGTCTTTAGTATACAAAAAATAACATTTTTTTATTCACTATTTTTATTAAAGATTTGTCAAAGTGTTGAGTACTCTGCATGCAAGTGATTTTCATGTTAAAATTAAAAATACTTTTCTTCATCTGCAAGTTTCATTTGTGTAACCACTCAATAAATATCAAACTTTTTTTTTCAGTTAAGCTATATATTTAATTACCTTAACTCTATATGGACTCTGTCAATAATTTGATCAACTTTGTAACCACCATGAAAAAAATACAATAAAGCTAAGTTACCTTTTTTTTTTTTCAGAATTATTGTAAATTGTAACATGAAAGTTAACATTTTCGAACGGTAAAAATGTATTTCCAACAGATACATACCTATATGTAAACTTTCTGCTTGCCACTAACCTTAAAAGTCTCATCTAAAATCACGTATTTCCATATGATATTTTGCATACAAATTAGCAGGTAACAACCCTTCACCAAAAGGAGTGTGACACATGATACCTTACTTCTCTCACATTTAGCTAGAATCCTACATTGAAGTTGTGAAGGGACAAGTGCATAAGATACTGAGATGAATCCCCTTTGGGAAGTGCCCAAAAGGAAATGATTGAGTGCAACACCCTACACAATGGAATAATATAGGGGCACACCACTGGGAGACTGCACCTCATCTGTACAGGGTACACTCTTCAGCCACAAAAAAAAGAGACATGTTGCTAAATCGGGCAGAAAACAAGCACAGTCCACAATCCAAATCCTTATTTTTCATCTGGTCTGTGATAGGAGGAGGGTCTACCATCTTCCTGAGTAGTGGCTTATGTTGCCTTGTCCATCACCTATCCAACATCAGACCACCTGGAAACCTGACCATCTCGGCAGTGGTAGGATTGGGAAGTCTGGTTGGAGGGGTGAACTGTATATAGTGGGTCAACTCCAGTTCAAAATCAGGCAGCATCAGGTATTTTTAGTCCAGTCTGCCATAGGAGGAGGGTCCCTACTATCTAAACCAACAGAACACCACTGTGATGCTCTCTACTGCGTGGATTTGGTCACATTCAGGAGGAATCCTTCACAACCTCAATAACTAGGAACTGGTGAGTGGTAAGGACCCCTATTCTCCACTAGAAGAAAAAGGGGGGTGAAAGTGCATTGGGGAGCCTGGAGGAGTGCAACACCATAAGATAATGCAATGAGTGGCCATAAAAACTTTGTTTTTAAAAGCATGCCAGCACCAGTTTATTCAACAAGCCATGGGGGAGGGATAACTATCCCTTTCCTGGTTTATTCATGATAGCCCATGAGTAGGTACAGTCTGGATCAAGTCTTGTTTAGGAAATTATGCACTGTGAGGTGATATCTAGCAGTCTTGTGGAACACCCCATCTCATAAGTGAGCACTATATCAGGCCTTGAAGACCCTACACTATGTGGATTTAAAATAAGAATACCATGGTAGGCAACACTTCCCACTAAGCAGGATCCAGTGAGGTATGGGAGGAGTTCTAGATAGGGAAGACAAAAAGAACAAAGCCCAATCAGAGCTGGTATGATGTATATAGAATGGCAACTGGAGGCAGCCTGTAGCCTAATGAAGAAGAAATGGCCAGATGATGAAGACAGTGTACAAAGAGAGTGTGAAGACTGTCCACATGCCAGCCTGAACAATCTCCTCTAACAAACAACAGTGGAGCAGCCAGGGGGAAAGTAAAGTGTCAGATTTGATGAGAGGTCACTTGGAAGCATTGACAATCACCCTCACCCAAAGGAATGAAATATTCAGAGACTTCTCTGAGTTGACCAACCAACCAAGAACAGCCACCTCCTTGAGGAGGAGAAAAGAATGACTGTAGGAGCATCCTGGGATGGAACCAAATGTGAAAATAAGCATCTGAGACATCCACCTTAATCATCCAAACACCTGAAGCAAAAGACCACTGTAGAGTGAGAAAATTCTCCATGGTAAATTGAGGGAGGTCAAAAAACCAACTGAGACTTGAAATATCTATAACCAGTGAATGGGAAACCAGTGAGGATAAGAAAGAACTTTAGCATGTGGCACCAACACACTCTAGAGAATCAGTTACTTCAGTGAAAATAACACTGGCAGAGGAAAAGAGCCAGACAAAGGAAACTGGTATAAAGGGAGGCAAAAGCACTTAGTAAGAAAGGCAATAAATCAACCAAACATAAAGAATAAATAAGGAACTCCTCAGACGAATGGTGGATTACCATGGAAATAAGGTGAATGGAGAAAACATAACATCAAAGGGTATAGAGTGTAAGAAAAAGTTGGGAAAAAATTAAGCCTAAGAAAGTCAAACAGAGGACACAGGATCTGACCCCAAGTCTGATGAAAAGACTGCAAAGTTTGCAAATCTAAAAAAGACAGTAAAGCTCAATGTTAGGCCCAGGCACATGAGGTAACAAAGGAATGAGAATGGGTCATGCAAAAGCCAAAGTTGAGGTAAAAGCAATCAAATATCAACTTGAACATCTGGAGAGGAAGTAAAAGCATAAAAGTAAGAAGCAGGGAAGGAATTACAAAGTGAAGGAAAGAAAGATACCAACATACCGGAGAAACCATGTCCTAAAATTAAGAAATAGGCTTAGGTTGGTTCAAGACAGCATGGGTATAAAATTAGGCTAAGGTAATTGGGGAGAAAAACTAGCAAAATCCCTTCTGTCACAAATGGGAATCATAGGTGGAGGTATTTCAAGCTCAGAAGGAGGCCCAGGATGCATGAAAGACTCCACTACCTGCCGCACAAAAGCTATCACTTCCCCAACAGACAAAGACAAACCCAATGCCATTTTAGTTGTTAGTCTAGAATGAACAATATAATGTTCTCCCACACCAGACAAAGTGGAAGTTACTGAAACTTGTTACATAATAATGTGGAAATAAAAGGCCACAAGATTTGCAGGTGCAGAAAATATTGGAAAACGAAAATCTAACAACTAATATTTCCACAACATTTAATGTCTTTGTAGATACATCCACCAAAAAAAAAATGTCCATGTCTGAAAGTTCACAAGTTAAAAAAGACATCTTTACACACGAATGCTAAATCAAGAAGTGATGACTGAATAATCAGTATAGAGAAAGTGAACTGTGCTAGGAGGGTATGTCACCACTTCTATTGGTGGAGTGTCATAGCATGCTCATTTACATGCAACAATATCATGCAGACACATGTGATTTTAAGTGAGAGTTTCAACACTAGTGGCAAGAGAATCTTGTGCTTTTAATAAGGGTGGCACAGAATCGGGAAATATATATGTGAGAACATGTAAGGTATCATATTGGAACTACATTTGTTTATCCCAAACAGCTTAAGTCTTGTAACAGTTTAAAGCTATTTCTAATTAGTTTTATTGTTCTTTGAACCATGTCTAATATTTCTGCTATAGAAGTTGTAAATCTGTCAGCAAACTTGTAGCTCAAGTTACTGAGCTACTCGTGAAGAATTTTTCTTATTATTTTTCATTACCTTAACTGATCTAAAATCTAGTAACTTTCTAAATTTTTATTTCAGTTACTTTTATAACTAAAAATAAAAAATATACATGAAAAACAGGAAATATAGTACTTACCTTTGATCTCATTTTTTGCTGTCAGTTGCTGATAAAATTTAAGACTATTTTTTTTATAATGATGGTACTAGTATACTAAATAGTTTTTTATTTATTTAAATAATGCACTTAAAAAAACAGGATTAATAACATACACACACACATAAATAATGTCCTCTAACTAATATAATTTAATTGGCTTTCTAACTATAACATAAGAGCCTTAAAATAATTCCATAACCTTCTCAACCTGAACACTGCAAGAGAAACATTGAATCTGAACTAGACAATACTCTGTACTGAAAACAAAGTAATAAAATACACAAGCAAAAGTACCCAGCCCCAGTGAAAGGAAAAATTTAAGTTAATCTATCAATTTAAATTATTTCATGGACTTTAAGAAAGTTAATTGTGTTACACTCTTGTTTTCACTCTGAGCTTCTTATACCACCTACCACAAAAAGTAATTGTTGAGTATTTCAGTCATGCTAAAAGCTACTCAACAATAACATATAGTAAATCTACATTTTTATTCTTTTAGTCACATCACAGTTTGAAATGTGAATGATAATCTGATTAATTCTCGACAATTTAGTGTAGAATATCCTGCTTGTGAAATAAAATTTGGCATCAACATTATTCGTGTCTGTTCTTTATGTAAGCTCAAATAGATCATCAAGCAATTCAATGTCAACTGCTTCTGATATTCATATGCCCATAAACAAAAACTGTGAATTTTCTACTGTTCAGCCTAATTAGATAACTTCATATTTCAAAAGATAACATTTTCTTTCCCTGAAAATGCATTTTGAGATAAATACTTGTCTCTCTACACTACAAAGAGCTATTACCTTGCAAAAACCACTATGTAATTTCTGGCACATGCCGCAAACCATAAATAAAGTTCCCACCTGTACACACATCAATGTGAATTAAACAAGCCTATGATGTGATCATCTTTAGACTATAATCCTCCACCAACAGAAGAATGTTACATCTTCCATGCACAGTAATCCCTATGAGCACTAGCATTAGAACATGACTCATTCTTGATGGGGAAAACTAAATAAACAGGAAGTGAAGATGAAAGGTGAGAAGTAGTGTAAAAAAAGGTGATTATTTATCTGAAATACATTTTCAGGTAATGAAAATGTTACCTTCAGAAATGCTACTCTCCTCTCTGCAGTACAGAGAAACAAAGTACAAAGATGAGCTACTTTCAGAAAACAGAATTAGATAGGAAGAGCTCTTGGAGTGTGATACCCACAAGGCAAGGGGAGGGGTAACCTTATGGGGCAGCACTCTGTGAGGGACTGCATCTAACCTAAGCAGGGAATATTCTTCACTAAATGTTATTAAGGTATTTGCTGTTAGGACAGGAGGTAGAGCAAAAGAAACTGTCACAAGAATCTTTTGCATGGTGCTATAGTGTTGTTAAGGTGCATGGAAAGGTAAGATTGTCCAACCGTCTATTACCTCACAGGTGAGTAGCTGAGCATGAGTGTTTAGTGTGGCTAAGGCTATAAATCAGGCCTTTTCATCTAGGAAAAATACTTACATAAGAAAACTTACCGCAATAATCAGGTGCAGGAAAACCTGTGTTCCAAGGCAAACCCAAAATCCATCTGGATAGACCAAACCACCAGGAAAGGCTTAGTTCATAACACAGTGGAGAGTCCTGTATTATACTACCAGATAAAACCCCAGCACTACTTCCAAACAAGGTGTGCATCCACTCAGTCTTGTATCAGTGGAATTGCACTGTCCAATGGAAGAACTCCCCATATCAACCGACCCCCAGGGGTTTGGGACTGGGGAAGCAAAGGTTCTTCTATACTCCACTAGAAGAAATGGGGAGGGGAAAGAGAACCAGAGAAGTGCAAGAACCATGTCATCGGGAAGGTAATGAGCAGGGACAGATGGAATTAACACTTTTCATACTCCTTCACTCAATGTTGATTTTGGGAAAGAGAAGTATTCCTTGTGAAGCCACACCAGCCACAAAATGGGTTCCAGTGTCTCTTAAGTGACAAACAGTAAGATCTAAGAACAGAAATGAGTGAGAAATTCAAGAGCAAATAACAGTACTCACAATACTTACAAGGGCCTCAGAGTGGACTGTAAAATGACGAAAGGAGGGTGGCAAAAGGCAGATGTACAAGAAACTGCCACATGATGTAAGTAATGTGACAAAAACATGTTAGGTGTCATACATATTCTGGATTGTAGCATCTCATCCAGGGGACAACACTGATGAGAAGCAAGAGAAGCTGTGCGATGATGAATTTGATAGGAGGTGATGCAATAAAATGTACAAGCATCCTCACCCAAAGAGGAATACACCAACTAGATGAGTTGATGAGCCCACTCGGTCAAAGTCAAAGGTGACAAGTCAGGAAAGGAGGTGAGATCCAATGGTAAGAAATGGTGATAGCAATTTCCACAGAAGGAAGCAGTTCAAGTGAGGTAAGAGGAAAGAGCCTGAACCAGACACAAAAGATGATCAGAGTTAGAACAATTGTATAAAGAAGAAATAGAAGGAAGAATGATGGGAGAAAACATCCAATCACCCTCTCAGGCAGCCCAAGCCCTTGAAAGTAAGAAGCAGTCTGGAAATAAACCAACTGATCCCTATGATGAAGAATGCAGGAAGCAATCAGTGCATAATTGTCTGAGTGACCTTTCCCATAAGCAAGGAGGAAGAGAAAATACATGGAACAGAAAGATAAAGGTTCAAACAGAAAACTAGTAAGAGCCTGGAGAACAACACAAGAGGTTCCAGTCTGGATGAGGGATCAGGCAAGAGGGATGATTAATGAGAAAGGCCCTGAATAGGAAAGTACAATGGTTCAGAACAATGACATACACAGCTGAACAGCATGGGACTGTCAACCAAAAGAGAGAAAGTTCAATACCGAGGAGAGTCACAAAAGAATTGATGAAGACTACCAAATGGGAACAAATCCACTGAAACAGCAAAGGATAACAGACCTCTCTATGGAAAGGATGCAGTCCAAGCAAGTAAGGTGATCCACCAGAATGTTTAAAGCCCTGGGATATGAAAAGCTGGAACTAAATTTTATATTTGCAGGCCCAAAAGAGAAACTCAAGAGTGAGAAAGCACAGAGTCCAAGAGTGAGTGCCTCTGACAGTTGATGTGAGAGACAGCTGTGGAATTGTCTGAATGTATCATCACTAGAAGACCCATTAATTGAGACTGAGAAGCAGCTAACATTTCTAGGACATTGATATGAAGGAACTGCTTTTCTATTGATCATAACTTTAGGATGATGGAAGTTTCCAGGACTGCATCTCATCTAGAAAGAAACACATCTGTGTACAGGTACAGGTCAGGGTGAGGAGGGGAATGGAGGGAGGAAGAAAGAGTCACGAGAGCTGTTAAGAAGTTCTAGGACATGTTCCACTGATTGGCCAGTGGACCAGATATTGAATGGGGGTCATGACAACTTGGAGCACTTGACCAGCCAACCTAAACAAGAGAGAGGTTTCCTGAAGAAGATTACTTCAGGTAGACTGATCCAGAAGGAGCCAGTCGTTCATATAATAATAGAAGTAGAGAACCAAAGAATGCATCTGCCATATGAATACTCACATAACTTGATTGAAAATGTATGGGGCTATGGCTAACCTGAAGGGGCCAAGAATGAAAGACATGAAATGTTCATGGGGATTACTGAACATAAAGGATGTGCTGCTCTCCTACTGGTTGAATGCCACAGTCTAATGATGATTACATCATAGGCTGGTGTAATACAAGTTGACACAGGTAAAGGGTGTGAGCTTTATTCAAGGTTGTGGCATGCAAAAGAATTTACATGGAAATGTGTGTGTGAAGTAATAGCTCTTTGTGGTGCAGAGAAGTGAGTAACTTTTATGAACTTAATTTTTAAAACTTTAATATTCATAAGTTTTTTATATTTTACTTTCAGTATACCATTAGAAAAACAACTTCTAAGAAATAATGGCTCTTTCCTTTCCTTTTCAGGGTAAATGAGAAAGAACAGGATTTAATGATTTTATTGTAGTTATTGAATATTGGCCTATAAAAGGAGTAGGAGAACTTCAGAAAAATGTATGTTCACTGACTGACATATTCAATAGAAATAATTTAAACACACATACATAATAATATCTTTGTACTTTTTAATGGCATACATATTTCTCAGCATTTCAAGTAGTTTTTTCTAGAGAAGGTATCTTAATTAGGTGGGCCTACTGGACTAATTTGATATTTTTAGAGTTAATGGCTATAAATTACCTGCAGTGTCTGCATGGCAGCACAGATCTGTCTATCCCTAACTTCTTCATAGAAAGTAAGGGTATGGCCATAGGTTCGGGTTCCATCTTCACGAGTGATAATAAATGAATGAAAAGATGGACTATGAGTATGCCTCTGTGTCCTAAAAGACAGGCCTCGAGGATGGCATAACTGATGGTGATAAAGAAAGGGTAATTTGCATATTTTCTCTAAGTACAGAAACAAAAACTACAATATTTGCAGATCACAAAATGTAAAATTATTTCATTTATACCTTAGTCCTGTTTAGCATTTAAATTGAACTCCTCCACACATTATCATACATGTTTCAGTGCCTGAAACTAACTTTTTGGGCTATTGGTAAATGTTTGCCAGTTACATTAAAAATAATATTACCACTAACTTTCCATAAAATTTGCAGACTGCATTGATCTAGTTGCAAGTTATCAATAAATTATGTCCCTCCCTTCCCTCTCTTAAAATGTTTATTTCAATGAGGGTAAAAAACAGAGTCTGGTCTGTGGAGTCACTAACCAGACGACCACAATCTCTTGACTGTTTTTTCAGTTCTCCAGTTTTCCTTGTTCTCCACAGGTGTTGACAGTAATCCTCATAAGATGGTCACTGGTGTTTGTATCAAGGATGTAGTGCCAATCACTTATTATTTTTTATTCTTGTCATGGTTCTGAAACCCCTTTCCTCTCACAGCAGTAAATAGGTGGATAATGTTGCAAAGATGCATTACTTTCAGAATGATCTTAGTCTTCTCAACCAGCATCATTCTAGATTATGCATGTCACACAACAGATGAATGCCAACAGACTGACTGCCAGTCTGCCTGATGTATGTATTAACCTCTCCACTCATCTAGAACAACCTGGGTGTAGCAGCTATAATTATGTAAAATTGTACTGAAAGGAGCAGTAACATGAATTGTTGTTCTGCACCATAAAGTCACTGACAATTCTGGTCACACCAATACTTTTGGCACATATATTTATTGCTGTAATATTTACCTCATTTTTGTCAACTCTAAAGCATTTATCCAAGGCATCACTCTTTGCTAATAACTATTTGTTTCTGTCACCAATCAGACCTTCTTAAGTTTCTACATTACTTAACGAATGACCCTTCAATTGTATATTCTGACATATATTCTAAAATCCACTTTCTCTAGGGTTTTTCTCATCCTGCATGGAAAGAAAGATGGTTTATGCACTTTATAGACACAAAGAATATTGATGTTATTTCTTAAAAAACAATAAAGAAATCTTGATGATTTCTCTCAAAACATTCTGAAGTAGAAAGAATGAAACACAAATTTAAAATCTTTGTATTTTCTATTAAAATCTATTTGAGCATAATAAAAAATCCATGCATTGTTGTCTTGGCTCTACTGGACTTACAGAAGTGCTCTTCCATTATTCTGCTACCTTATTTACTTCTGTAATCCTCTTTGAAGATTCTCTGTAAAATAGGTAAATAGATTCCTGGATCTTAATATCTGTATTTCAACATGTTCTTCAGGGTGAGTTCCAACCTGTGGACCATACAGAGTATTTGAACAAGCTAAGGTACATCTGCTGTACACAGTATGCCCACACTAGGTCTAATGCTGAAATTGATAATTTCACCATCTGCTCCAAACTCTGCCATCTTGGGTTTAACTTCACTTGGCAAAAAACAAAATATTGGAAGGTCACCTCCAGTGTTTCCAGTATACCCTCAAACTTTCCTTTTTTTTTTTACATTTCCAAGTTTAAGATATGCAACATGAGGATAAAAGTTTTGTATTATCCAGTGATAAAGAATTCTCTTTTCTCTGTCTTTCTTCAATATTGTCAATCATCAAATAATAGAAATTGCATGAAGTTGTTGTCATAATTTATCAAGCATAATACCTGGAATTTCAGTTATGAAAGTATTTCATGATTTATCATCGCAGTAAGGTGTTGCAGCATATTTAGACAACAATATTTATTAAATATCAATACATATCAGCATCATTTGCCATCACAGGCCAAGCCTACGGTACATGCTAATATAATATCCAATTTTAGTTTATTTATAGTCATTTTTACAATGATAGTATGCTATTATAAATATAGATATCTGTCCTACCATTCCAACAGCTTTTTCATCAAAAGGGTTCCAAGGCACATTGTCAGGGTAGTGTGCCAAAACTTTGGCTCGATAAGGTCTATCCAAAGGAGTACAGTGAAGATTATCCCCTACAATTAAAGAAAAATAACATTACAGTCTTACCTAGATTATTCTCAGAGGTTCACACAACTTCAGTTTAATACTGAATATTGATTATTTTGTTATATTTGATAGATTCATTACTCATATTCATGATAAAAGAACTTTTACAGAAATATACAATGCAAAGAAGTTTTCTGACATATTTTTAGGGGGATTTAGATTTTTAGTTTCTCTCCTCTGCCAGTTTAACCAATCAATTTTTTTAGTAAATGTAATTATTTTTTGATTACTATTAATATAATAATATTGTTCTGCAAGCATTCCATAAGGGTTTTACACACCCCATTATGTCATTAGATGCCATTTCACTCTGTATGTATTTTATAATGAAATGTGAAACTATTGGCACATGCACACATATTTCTATAACAGAAAGAAAGCCCAGGTTTCCTTTTTTGTTGTTGACATAACAATATGAAATTAATTCAATATTCACAGTTGCAAGTTAGGGACTAGTTCACCAAACAAGTCTTTTGAATTGCATTGCAGTATTTAACCTCATCAGTAAATGACTCTTCACAAAAAGCAGTATATACATATATAAAAGATATTTCTTTCAAACTAACACTGTAAGATTCTTTCAAAACCCAAAAATAAGTTGCAGATTCATGTAAGATTTATTAGGAAATGAAAACATCCATTTTGATTATAAAAATAAATATGTTCTCAAAAAGAAAGAGGATCTTATATTCTGTGAAAGTTTTTGTCAGTTTATTTGTCATATAGCAGAACTGTGGACAAATTTCTGTAAGGCTGTACATGTGAAATCACTGAAAAATGATCTGCAAATTCTTTGAGTTGCATCTTGTACAAGATAAAATACTAAGCTACCTTTGTCGTAATTTAATTACACTTATATATTTCTAAAACTTTACCATTATTTACAAAAACAAAAACAGCTCTGGAAAGCCAGTCTGAACTAAGCTAACTGCATGTTTAGTGCTCATTCTAAATTATATTATTAATATTATATAGTAGAGCATCAAATGCCACATAGAATCCATGTTAAAATTTTACAAAGGCTAAGATATAAAAGAAACAACTTGCACCTCTTATCATAAAATTTTGTTTATCACGGAATACTAAAAGAAAATAAACACAGCAGACTGAAAAAATACAGCTAAATTAAATATAGGTATGTTTTATCAACACTGCCTTTTTTGTTCAAGATTTACTTTTAAAGAAGAAAATAAAAATTAGACTACAGAAATAATATAAAATATGATTGCCAATCATATTCATCACAATTATTATCCAGATAATAATTATAATATTTTGAAAAGTGATAATTCCGAAGTTCATGAGTTGTGTTGCTTTGCCTCAAGTCCTTATTACTTTGGTATTCTGCTTGTATGAACAATATTAATAACTAGTTGGGCAGAAGTTATGTAAATTCATGATTAATGAAAGGTTAACTTAGGACATGAAAAGTTGCTTCCCCTACATGCAATTTAAAAAAATACAAAACACAAAATGTGAAACTGCAACTTTGCATGTGTTTTCTCGTGGATCCAACAAACCTTCTTGCCAAATTTGGTGAAGATCCATCAACAGTGGGCAAAGTAGTGGTAAAAAATGCAAAAACACCCATAAAAACTGCAAAATGTAAAACTAAACATTTTAATAAACCCACGTATGGTCCTAATGAACCTCCATACCAATTTTGGTGAAGATCCATCTGCACCCTGCAAAGTAGTTACATGGAGATACAACAGACAGTACTATTATATTTATATAAATTCAATACTTTCTTGAGCATAAAAAATTATACCTGACCTGTTATCTGCATTCAAATTTTCTGATTTGTAGCTTGCTGAAAAGCACATACATATCGTCCAGAACTTATAAAAACATTTTATGTTTATCATTACACATCAATTTTGTCCTCTAGAATCACTGATGATTCTGTACTCCACTTTGAATAGACAGGACAAGACTAACAGATATTAAATATTATCATTAAAATGTTTTCTTCATGTATACAGACTAAAAATCTGCCCTGTTATTCAACAGTTTCCACATGGATCGGATATGGTGGTGACACCAGCTGTTTTCAATGAAAAGGAAATTTGAACTAGGGCTGTAACAAAGGGTAAATTTTGACCTTCAAAGGTTCAAAACACACTACTGAATGAAACTTTGAATCCTGATATTAATAATTTGTATAACTTACTAATGAAACATCACATAGCTACCAGTGTATGTTTGATTGAAAAACCTTTCATTCTATAGGCAATTCATACAAGTTAAATAAAACATTCACATGTAGTTTACAAATACAGTATACAGAACAGTAATCATGTTTTTATATCCTGAAAAAAAGCACTTTGTTTGTGTACACTATTTGATGCTATGTGCAATATTCATATAGATACATACAGCAAGCTTACATTAGAAGAGCACCATACTGCAGCCAGTAAAAAAAAACTGCAGCTGATTTAAGCAAAACAAATATTTATTTAAGTCACTATTCCAAGCAGGTTAGCAGTCATAGTATTTTTATCATAAAACTGTCGATTCATTAAACATACCTAATAACCATACTAATAAGTACTCATCAAAACAGAACAGAGTAACTGTAAAACTTTCGTTAGAAAATAAATACAGGCCTTCAACCATAACAAAAGGTTAAAAGACAGACAGTGAGGCTGTAAAAGCATTCACTGTTTAATTAATATTACACTTTTTTATGTCTTGTAGCCTAGGCATTCTTACATTTTATTGGAAATAATGCAAACACAAATATATCCTCCCCATCTCCAATGGTTTGCTCCAATGCATAGAAAGACCTGCTACAATGTTTTGGTGTTGGTGGTTTTATTTTGTTTTTTAAATAAAACTGTTGTTTAAGTAATGTGTATTATACAAATCAAAAGACTTAACTTTCTAGGCGAGTGATATTTAACATGTGATTACTATTCAAACTTTGTGAAGCAGTTTCTTTTTAACAGGAAAAAATAAACCTAACACTGTTTGAATGCTACCTGGTGAATCTTCAACTGTTTATAACTATCTTAAATTTCCTGATTATCAAGCAAACCTTGGAACATAGCCCTGATTTTAATATAATAATGTAATCATTTAATCTGACTTGCCCACATTAGAAATACAACTGAGCTATTAGTGGAATTTGCTAATCAGTTAATTGCTGGGCTCATTAATTGGTTACATTCAACTAACATATTATTATCACATAAGACTTGGATAGTTGGAATAATCAAAAATAGTATTAATGAAAAACACTAATCATAATTAGTAGATTATTTACATAATTCATGTCACTAATCAATTAAGTTAAACACCTTAAATTAATTGAAAATAATAGTGAGAAAACATAATGGCAGTTGGAGGGACAGAACTGCAAAAAATCCACTCCAGATCAGCATCATCTCTAATAAAAAAATCAGACCCGTAGCAGGAGGATAGTTACACCTTCTACACAGGCAGAATACCACCATCCTACTCTAAACTGAGCGGAATTGCACACACTCAAGAGGATTCCTCCAGATCCACCACCCCAGCAGCTAGGAGCTGGTAAGTAGTACTCCTGTACTCCAATGGAAGAAATGGGGGAAGGGGGGGGGAGAGAAATGTTTTGGAGAATCCAGAGGAATGCATCACCAGAGAAGGTACAATGGGTGTGACCAGGAAACCCTATTTTGAAAAGCAGACCATTCCCAATTCAGCAATCTAAGAAATGTTAGAGATGGGCAGCTATTTCTTTCTGTTTTACTCATGTTAGTCCATGAGTGTACGGTCTAGTACGAACATATTTATGATGTAATACGCTGCAGGGAAGAATCTGCAAGTAATGTTATGGAACACCTCATCTCAACAGTGAGCATGATAGACCTTACAGATCTCACTGTACAGATTTTGGATATCAGTGTACCTGGACAGGCACCACTTGCCACAGAGCAGGATCCATAACATGTAAAGTAGGCCACTGAAAAACAAAGGGCTGAATTGCTTGTAGGTTGGGAGATCCTTTGGCTAACATAAAAGAAACCATATCCCAATGGACTATGACTGACACTTCTTCCGCCACACCTGCAGCCGCTGTCACAGGTAGTTGACCACCGGCACCATCTGTAGCCACTGTAGTCATAATATTAAATTGTGAATTCATAAATATTGAGTGATTACTGGTAAATGAGTGAGGAATAGAATTCACAATCAAATAAAGAAATCCAACTTATTTTGGGATTGTAAACAATACTTTGAAAAATGAAAATCAGTAACTGAATATTATCAAAATGCATTAAAGAAGAAAAAAAAATGTTGTGCCAAATCAAGAAGTAAAGACTGGGTTTAACTGCACAAAGGAAGTCAGCTGTGATAGGAGGGTTTGTCACACTCCTATTGGTGGAGGACTGTTGCATGCTAATGTGCATGCTTAAATGTAGCTGAACCACGTGGTATACATGTGGAATAAGGTAGGAATTTCAAGACTAGTGGTGAGCAAAAATTCTGGGCAGTCAAATTGAGAATAGCTGTAACTGTGAGCGGAGATAGTAACTGTATTGGAAGTATAACTATTAAATGTGATACAAAGAAAACAATATGTTAAACATACTATGAAGTGTGCTTAACACAACCACTCCAACTTTAAATAATCTGTCAAAAACCATGTATCAGGAAATAGGAAACAATAAATAGTTAAATTTTTTATAAAAGCCAATATGTAAACATGATAGTCCTCAAGAAATTCAATAATAATAATAATAATAAAACTTAGAAAGTAACAACAATCATAAATGTGTCAAGAAAAGCAATTAACAAAAATTAATGTAGTTTAATTAATGACATACTATACTACGTATGTATAGTTGATACTACTAGCTATATAACAATTTGATATAAGAGCTTAAATTAACTGGTGGTAAAATTTAATGGTTGTCAAAACAATAAAGTGGTTTTCTATTATCTTAAACAACTTGCAAAAATATTAAGTTATAGATGTGAA